AAATATTCTAATTGTTTTGCTGCTAAACTGCTAAATAGTACATATTGGGCATGCTCTTCATATCTGAGAGTCAAATAGAAGCGTCAAATAGTGCGGTTATAGCGCAATTATAAACATTCTTATTTTCTGGGTGCTAATCTGCTAAATAGTACATTAGTGGGGTGCACTTCATATCTGAGAGTCAAATAGAAGCGTCAAATAGTGCGGTTATTTCCATATGTCCTTTGCAGACTTTACATGCTGGAAAAACACTGGTGCCAACTGCTGTGGCTTTCTGCAGTGTGCAGACCTACAAGGAGTGCAGGGTTGAGGAGTGGTGGAAGATGATATGGAGGATGATGAGGTCCTAGACCCCACATGGAATCAAGGTCATGCGAGTAACGTGTGCAGTTTGGAGGAAGAGGCGCTGGTCGCACAGAGGCACCAGCACAGCATACGAGGGAGCATGGTGCAAAAGCGGAGTGGCTGTCCCCAGGCACTCGTCGGCAAGTATTATCTTTAGAATTCCCACAGTTATCCAAGTAACAGATGGAGCGATAAAAGGAACCATAACAGATTTAACAAGACTTTCGCAGTTTCGCAGTCCGATGACCGGGACCCAGAAACTGTCTGGGCAGCGGTCGGACGACCGTGACCCAGTATGCCTGATGTTGAAGTTAGGAGTCACAGTGTGGAATGGATTAGCAGGGTCTGGTGCAGCGTAACCGCACACCACCTGGTGTTGAGCACCAGCGTTTGTGTGGCCACATACCAGGACCATGATGCAGCTTCAGTAAAAAGAGTACTGGATACCAGAAGCCATCACCAGTACTGATCCGCAAATTGGAACAGGATGTGACATTCACTGTAGCGGCTGTGCGCGCTTTCGGCGTTCTCACCCTGCTGCTGCTCGCCTGTCTGCGCTGCAGCGTAACTTTGGCCTTCCCACTCACCACCTCATATGCGACGTGCCCACAAGGTGGAACTCCACCTTGCACATGCTGGAGAGACTGTGCGAGCAGCAGCAGGCGATAGTGGAGTTTCAGCTGCAGTCACTCTGCACCAGACTTGCCCTCCAATTGATCAGAGTTAAAGGATTTCAAGTGGACTCATTACAATTACAGGGCCTCTAAGAGTCCTGTATTGTTATTTGTCGTCACTACCTTCCTGCGTCGGGAGTGGGTCATTTGCGCTCCTGCTGCCTTCCTTGAATGTGGTAGCCGTTTCTCAGGCTCCCTCTTAGGAATCGAACCCTGATTCCCCGTTACCCGTGGTCACCATGGTAGGCGAAGTAATTGGCATCGAAAGTTGATATGGATGACATATGAATGCGTCGTAACCTTGTCGTTGGGGAGCCCATTGAAAAAGTGCTCTAGCATGATGAGCTGGGTGATCTCCTCCGGGAACTTGGCTTGATGGGAGTTGAGGCAGTTCTGGGTGGCCCTTGTGATGCAGCATGCCCACTCCGCATGGGAGTCCTTCTCCCCTTTCCGGGTCTCCCTAAACTTTCGGCGGTATTGCTCGGGGGTGACCGCATACCGGGCCAAGAGGATTTGGTAATAAAAGGATAGTCTCTGATCTGCTCTTCTGGTACACCCCGATAAATATTCGCTGCCTTCCCCACTAGTTTGCTGGCCAGGATGGTGACCCAGTCGGCGGGGTCCACGTCTTGGAGTAGGCACTGGCGCTCAAAGTCTTGTAAAAAGTCGATGCCTTCCTCTGCTTCCTTGAAGTCTTTGAAGGCCTTGTATGGTAGCTTGTGGGCCAGGGTGGTTGTGCTTCCCGGCACCCTTTGCTCCCTTCTTCCTTCATCTGGGTTCATGGAGGTCGCCCTCTGTCTATTGGCAAGGACATAGGCTTGCACCTCCAAAAAGGTCCTGCTGACAGTCTACTCTGAAGGTGGCTCTCGGTAATATGGCAGGCGCTGTTACACTTGCTTGCGCACTTCTTCCTCCTGTCTGCGCTGCAGCGTAACTTCAGCCTTCCCGTTCACCGCCTCATGAGACTGTGCGAGCAGCAGCAGGCGATAGTGGAGTTTCAGCTGCAGCACGCACGGGTCATTCGCTCTGTGGAACAGAGTTGTCTTTTTTTTATATGTCCCAATATTTTTGGGGCTACCCAAATTAAAAAATATATATATATATATATAAAAAACAGTGTTGGCTACCTCCTCCTCCACCGCTGCTTCCACCTACACCGCCAGGGTCACCGCCTCCTCAGCCTATGGGTCACTTAGTATAAAGTATGTACACAATAGCAGAGGCTTGTGAAGGCCTTTTCTCCATGCATCAGGAGTTGAGCATTTCTCCATGCATCAGGACTGCAAGAAATGCACCACAGGCCGCAAATGTTTCTCTTTTTATATGTCCCAAATCCCAATATTTTGGGGGCTACCCCAATTAAAAAAAAAATATATATAAAAAACAGTGTTGGCTACCTCCTCCACCGCTGTTTCCACCTACACTGCCACGGTCACCGCCTCCTCAACCTATGGGTCCCTTAGTATAAACTATGTACACAATAGCAGAGGCTTGTGAAGGCCTTTTCTCCATGCATCAGGAGTTGAGCATTTCTCCATGCATCAGGACTGCAAGAAATGCACCGCAAGCCGCAAATGTTTCTTTTTTTTTATATGTCCCAATATTTTGGGGGCTACCCCAATAAAAAAAAAAAAAAACAGTGTTGGCTACTTCCTCCTCCTCCACTGCCACTTCCTCCTAGACCGCCACGGTCACCCCCTCCTCAACCTATGGGTCACTTAGTATAAACTATGTACACAATAGCAGAGGCTTGTGAAAGCCTTTTCTCCATGCATTAGGAGTTGGGCATTTCTTCATGCATCAGAACTGCAAGAAATGCACCGCAGGCCGCAATGTTTCTTTTTTTATATTTCCCAAATCCCAGTATTTTGGGGCTACCCCAATTAAAAAAATATATATAAAAAACAGTGTTGGCTACCTCCTCCTCCTCCACGGTTACCGCCTCCTTAACCTATGGGTCACTTAGTATAAACTATGTACACAATAGCAGAAGCTTGTGAAGGCCTTTTCTCCATGCATCAGGAGTTGAGCATTTCTCCATGCATCAGGGTTGCAAGAAATGCACCGCAGGCCACAAATGTTTCTTTTTTTATATGTGTCCAATATTTTGGGGGCTACCCCAAGTAAATAAATAAATAAAAAACAGTGTTGGCTACCTCCTCCTCCTCCACCGCCGCTTCCACCTACACCGCCACGGTCACCGCCTACTCAATCTATGGGTCACTTAGTATAAACTATGTACACAATAGCAGAGGCTTGTGAAGGCCTTTTTTCCATGCATCAGGAGTTGAGCTCAGTTTGAACAATGAAAGAGAATACCCTGCACTTCAACCCTCTCTCCAATGGAGAATTCTGGTGATCCTCCTGACAGCCATGCTTTAGATTTTGATTTATGTTCTTCCAAAGCTAAAATCAAAGATTCCATCTAGTGCTATTTTATGGCTCAGCTGTATTTTAAATTTTTAGGTATTTTATGTTATTTTAAGTGATTTCCCTATCCACATTTGTTTGCAGGGCACTTGTCCTACTCTTACCCCCATTTTACTTCCTTTTGCAGCCCTTTTTTAGAGGCATTTTTGTGCCCAAAAGTTCGGGACCCCATTGACTTCAATGGGGTTCGGGTTCGGGGTCAAGTTCGGGGTCAAGTTCAATCCCGAACCTGGACTTTTTTTCAAAGTTCGGCCGAACACGCCGAACCCGAACATCCAGGTGTCTGCCAACTCTATTATGGAGTCATTTAAATATGTGAGCTACTAAAATGCCTAAGACCAATATTCAAGATGCCATTAAAGAAACTGCAATGGGCTGGTAATAAATTCAGCCTTGTATTTTCACTATAGCCTTACAAGGGTATGCAAAGGGGGTCATTTTGACTTAAATATTGCTGAGCACAATCTAGAGACTTTTATTACAGCAGCACACATTTAAATTTACACACAAACGATGCAATGCGCATGTAAAAAAGCGCACAAATAATAACAAAGTTTGATATAAATTGTTCCTAAAGAAGCTGTACAATAAGGCTCAATTTATTACACAAAACATACCCTTTGGTGTATACTTTTAGAGATGGTATGCATTTATGGGGTAATTTTAAATGTTACACTGCTATGAAATGCTCAAGACTAACTGTAAAAACACTTGTATGGCACTGCAAATTCATAAAAAGTTCAACAGGCATACATTATGGGTATTATTTTATTCAGAAGAGTCTGTTGAACATAATTTGGCAAGTTTGTAGGGGCACATATCAGATTTGCAAAATACCCAAAAAATGTAATGATGCAAAAAAAAAAAGAAACACAACTTTGGCATAAACTGGTGAACAAATATCAGCACGTTAATGCACAGTATACCCTGGAGTGTCTACTTTCACAAAAATTCAAACTCTAAAAACTGAAATGGTCAGATGTTTATATGGTATTGTAGCTTCACAGGATAGTGACAAAGGCATACATTGGGCTATTGCTTTACTCAGAAGACGTAGCTGAACACAGTATGGGGTTTTGTACAGTAGTAGCACACAGGTATTCAAAATACACATTAAAGATAAATGATATACAGTGACTCAAATGGGCACTTGCATTCGCTCTTTGGGTGCAGTTATGAACACCGTGACACAATTAGCATCACAATCTAGTAGTTCATGGGACTGCACACACTAAGCAGATGGATATTTCAATGGTGCCTCACAAATTTGGATGGCTCCAAACCCCATGCATACTCTTTCTATGTATGAATTTCTATGTAAGTAATTTTTGCTTAATTGATTTAACCTATTGATGATGTATAAATACACTATGTTTTTTGAGAATATTGTGGCTTAAGAAAGGCTTTGACACTGGGGCAAAACGTTGTTTCTTTTCAAAATCTGTCTTTGGATTTAACCCTTTGAGTAAACAAACGGCTTTCAATTCTATACCATTAGCATTACTAACTCACCCATTTTTCCGCCCACCTCTAATTCTCCTTATTTACGACATGCTGAAGATGGCAACTCTGTTGATAGACAGCATATTTGCTGCTCAGTAATGCTGTGTAGTGAAAATTTACTGTATTTGTTAAATATATGACATATAGATTTTTTTGCACTTCTCCCCTATTTTCTCCTCTATTGGCTACTCTGTGCTCTGGAATTCGCCCAGCCCAAATTCAGACAAATTGCAATTTAAACTGAAAGAAATCTCCAAGTCTAATAGGTAATGCCACTGGCGCAGTGGCATACATACCAGGGTCGCAGGGGTAGCGGCTGCGACCGGGCCCGGCCCACCAGGGGGCCCGGCCACCCCTGCAACCCGGTGTGTACCCACTGGGCCAGCCTCTTCCCCTGGGGGGCCCAGGAGCTGACCACCCCAGGGCCCCCCGAGGCTGGCCCTGCTGACACCCGGCAGCAGGTGGCCGGTCGGGCAGGCGGGCGTGCGAGGGAGCACTCAGTGCTTCCTCCTCAGCTCCCTTGCGCACCGCACTGATACCGGAGCTGGAAGATGACGTCATCTTCCGGCTCCGGCATCCCTACACGGCGCGCAGGGGAGCTGAAGAGGAAGCACTGAGTGCTCCCTCGCGCGCCCGCCTGCCCGACCGGCCACCCGCCCAGGAGCCCAGCAGCACCACTGGACCCCAGGGAATCCCCCCACACTCCAAAAGGTAAGGAAGCTGGGAGGATTACATTTTAAAAAAACATGTGTTAGTGTGAGTGTTAGAGTGTGTGAGTGTTAGTGTGAGTGTTAGAGTGTGTGTGAGTGTTAGTGTGTGAGTGTTAGAGTGAGTGTTAGAGTGAGTGTTAGTGTTAGAGTGAGTGTTAGAGTGTGTTAGTGTTAGAGTGTGTGTTAGTGTTAGAGTGAGTGTTAGAGTGAGTGTTAGTGTTAGAGTGTGTGTGAGTTAGTGTTAGAGTGAGTGTCAGTGTTAGTGTGAGTGTTAGAGTGTGTGTGTGTTAGTGTGAGAGTGAGTGTTAGAGTGTGTGAGTGTTAGTGTTAGAGTGAGTGTTAGAGTGTGTGTTAGTGTGAGTGTTAGTGTGAGTGTTAGTGTGAGTGTGAGTGTTAGTGTGAGTGTTAGTGTGAGTGTCTGCTAGTGAGTGTTGGTGAGTGTGTTACTGTGTGTGTCTTAGTGAGTC